TACTACAAAACTGTAATACAAAACAGCATGGTACTTCCATAAAGACAAATAAATAGATCAATGGAATAGACCAGCACTCAGAAATTAACCATCGCATATATAGTCAAATGATTTTCAAATGGGTGCCAAGACCATTCAAGGGGGGAAAGGAAGGCCTTTTCAACAAAAAATGCTGGAAAAACTGGATATCCACATGCAAAAGAATGAAGGTGGACCCTCATCTAACACCATACACAAAAGTTAACTCAAAATGGATCAAAGGCCTAAGTGCATAAGCTGAAACTATAAAACTCTTGGCATGGGAGAAAATCTTCATGATACTGGATTTGATAGTAATTTCTTGGACATGACAACAAAAGCACAGGCAACAAATGGAAAAATAGACAAACTGGATGTTATCAAAATTGAAACTTCTGCACATCAACTGGCAGTATCAACAGAGTAAAAGGCAACCCACAGAATGGGGGAAAATATTTGTAAATCATATTTCTGATAATGTTAATATTCAGAATATAGAGAGAATTCCTAAAACTCAAAAATAAAAAACCTGATTCATCAATGGACAAAGGATTTGAATAGATAATTCTCCAAAGAAGATATATAAATGGCCAATTAACACATGAAATGATGTTCAATATCACTTATTACAAGGGAAATCCATATCAAAACACAATGATACATTGCTCCATACACATTAGGATGGCTATTATGCAAACAGAAAATCATAAGCGTTGCCAAGGATGTGGAAATACCAGGACCCTTGTGCACTGCTAGTGGCAATGTAAAATGGAGAAGATGCTGTGGAAAAATGTATGGTGTTTTTTTTAAAAATTAATAATATAATTATCATACAATCAAACAATTCCACATCTGGGTAGACACTCAAAAGAACTGAAAGGAGAGACACAGATACTTGTACACTGAAGTTCATAACAGTGTTATTATTCACAGTACCAAAAGGTGAAGCAACCCAAGTATCCATAGACATTTATACCAGACTACAAACTACAGTAAGGCAAAAAGAATCAAAACGTCAGTTAGAAAAGTTATCTCCAGGCTGTTATTCTGGATCCAATACCTCATTTAAAAAATAACAAATTAAAACAGTAGTTGACTGACCTATTTTTATACTTGGGGCTGAGGAGGTCTTTCCAAGGATAAACTAAAACACATAGGTCAAACACTGAGATTTTACAAAATAAAAATTTTAAATTTCTATACAACAGAAATTACTATAAACAAAGTAAAATTACAAGTAGGAAACCTGAAAAATTTTTTGTAATACATATAGCAAAGCATTAATAGCATTCATAAGAGTTCTTACAAACCAGTAAGAAACAAATGAAACACTCCAATACATACAAAGACTAAAGAGAAAACTCACAAGAAATACAAAGTCCATCTTCACTAAAATAAAAAATGAAATAAAAACAATGAAGACAGTTATGTTTATTTTTGTCAACAGGTTATCACAAAAATTTCAAAGATAAAACCTAATTCTGGTTAAATACAGGAGAATGGCAGTACAAGGATTTACAAGAATAAATACACAAAGATAAATGTATAATCCATTTATTGAAGCACTGTTATACAGAAAAAAATGAAAAATACCCTAAATATCTACCCATAAGGAAGTATATATATGTAAAAGAAGATAAAATAGATCTCTACATATTGATGTAAAAAGTTACCAAATTTAAAGATAAAAACTGATTTTCCCATTTACTCCGCTAGCATACCTGGGTATTATTTTATTTTACAGACAGGATAAACTGAGGCACAGAGAAAAAAAGTAAAGCAAATTGCCTGAGCTGCAATTCAAGCCTGAACTTAAATAAGTTAGTACTGGTATGGCATTTATCACAGTATAGTATCATAGTCAAGACTTAACACATTAATTAAAAGTTGTCATAGGAATATTATACAGGTTAATAATTAAGTGTGTGTGTGTGTGTATATATATATATGTTAAAATAACATAACATATATATATATGTTAAAATAATAAATTGTCACCTAGAAAAAAACAAATACGCTACTCCAAGGGGACAATTTTATTTTAAACTTCCTATTCACTCTTGCTGTTTTCTGTTACTCCTTTATTTCTGGCATAAAACACAAGACTTTTTCCTACATAATTCCATTCAGGTTGTCACTAGAGTCGGTAATAACAGTTTTGAACACTAAAGACAAGCTAAGGCTAAAGTAAGACTTCAAGCATTCATATAACCTTTTTCTGTATGTATCATCTAGGGCACAAATGCTAGGTTTTCAGAGGAAACCTCCCCTGGTTTCACAGACGTAGACCCCATTCTTTAATCTACCAATTTTTAGGTGTTACCTGACCTTCTATCTTTGTAAGAAAGTTGGCTACATTCTCTACAGTAACAGAACAGTAACAATAATGTCAGATCATCATGTCTCTTTCCGAGATCTAAATAACTTATGTTTACTCTTCCTGATTTTAGAACAGGTAGGCTGAGAGGAGGTTGGTTATAACAAGAGTTCCATCCTTGAGCTACCCTGTGTTCCTCCTGTACTTCAGTTCTAGTGCGGCACATCTACCGAAGTGATGGTATGGCCATACTTACAACTTATTTAAAGGGCACTCTGAATTCTCCTCAGAATAAAATCATTTTAAGGGAAGAGAGAACTAAAGTTTGGTTTAAGGAATACAGTACTCCATCTTAAACCACACAGTAATACTAGTATGACTGTGACATTTACCTTGGCAGAATTGGTAATGACAACAGGGGTAGCAGGAATCTCAGGAGGGGACATAGAAGACTTCAGTACCATCAACTACAGAAACAGCCATTAATGGCACTTTTCATACTAGCAGTGATAAGAGAGACACAAAAATCATGACTACCATTTATTAACTTCCTACTAAGTTCCAGACATTTTACATAGGTTATCTGCTTAAACCTGTACAATAATCCTATAAGGTGTGTATTATTATCCCTGTTTTAAAGATGGAATAAGTAACTTGTTCAAGGTAAATCAGCATGTTAGCAGTACTGCTAAAATCTAAATCCAGATGTCTGGCTCCAAAGTCTATTCCTACTGTAAATGCAACAGTCAAAGAAAGTAAGTTACCACCAAGAGATGAATTTTCAGGGTCCGTATCAAATACTATCTGGAAACTTCCTAACTATTTGGAAAGAACTTTAAGAGACGTAGAGTTCTCAATGAATAGATTTTAGAAAGAGTCAGAAATTTTACAGCTATTACTATTACTATTACTATTAAACCTTAGCCCCAGGATGTTATAAAGCCTGAGAAGTACAGATTACAACTTGAGAGTTTCACAGAATCCTCACAATAGTGCTATTTTTCCATAACAACATGAATGTGCACTGATTTGAATTCCATGGTAATAACATATAAGTGGCTTTTTCTGTAGAAAGTGTCTTCAATAATAACATCTTTATTTGTACAGTATTTTTTGTTCACAAAGAATTCTCACATGCGAGACTTAAAAGAGGTAATACACCACTAAATGTCATTCAAAATTTTTTCTCTTTTTACAAAACTCAGGTAACCAAAACTCAAGGTTAAATGACATAAACATTAACCCAAGTGCACAAAATTCAACATGTACTGAGCTAAGCACTGGATAAAAATGCAAACAAGATTTGATATCTCTCCTTAAGGAGCTCATGGTCTAGTACAGGAGGCAGAAAAAAACACCTACAGTACAAAATGATAAAATGCACTTCTACAATCTCTGAGTATACATTAAATTTATTAGTAACTGGATAATGTCACTGAAACTCTCTCTTTTTTTTTTTTAGCAAATTCAGAAAGAGACCTAATAAAGTCACTGATAATTTACTAAGTAGAACCCAAGTGAAACAAAGTATTCTTCAAAAGAAGAGAAATTCATAAAATTTATAAGTTCATAAGAAATAAATAGTTCAGCAGGGTAGGGTATAGCTTAGTGGTAGAGCACATGCTTAGCAGGCACAAGGTCCTGGGTTCAATCCCCAGTACCTTTATTAAAACAAACAAATAAATAAATAAATACATAATTATCTCCCCCTACAAAACAAACAAAAAAAGAAATAAACAGAGTTTATAAAAATCAAATGTGTTAGTAATTAAGAAATTTATTATAAATCTTTTTAAAAGTAATTATAAATATTCTTTAATGTAATTAGGCTTGCAAGAGAAATACAAATCAGAAGTTACCTTTGGATGGTTTTGGGGGGAGGGGAAGGGACAATTAAGACTGGGTAAATAATTTCTCATTCAGATCAAAGCTATTTATTGTACTGGCTGGGAACAGAAAATAGAAAAGAGAAGTTCATGGTAAATGAAAGTTAAAATATCTAGTATTATCTACTAACTAACATCCCCTAGCTTTTTACCATAGTTTTTTTTTCTTATTTACAGCCCCCATGTGAGATTCTCCTAGAGCTTAAAACAAAAGCAACTTCTGATTTCCATTTCTCTTATTGCCAGAGAAAGCCACGACTGTTAATAGAATTCAGCTGTCTCAAACCATTTTTGTGAGGAATGCATTCAGTCGTTCATTCAGCAGATATTTACTGGGCAGTAAGTGCCAGGTACAGTTCTAGCATCTGGGTATAAAAACAGTGACTAATAAGATGGAGGGATGGATGACGGACAGATAGATGGACAGCCAGCCAGATGGATGGATAAGACAAAGGAGGAGGAGGAACAGATAGACGTCAGGGGAATGAATTTCAATTATACCAGATAAATAAACTGAAATAGGTACTGAATTTTCATTGAGAGTTTGCATCCATTTCCCCAAAACACAAGTAGAGTGATTGGTACTTTCCGAAACTGATTATTAGCCAATGACTGTTGGTTCCAATAGTCATTCCAGCCACCAGTGGAGAAAAGTTATACTAGCTATCAGAGCACGTTTGCCTCACATTTAGCAATAACATATCTGTAGGGAAGAATGGAGGAGGGCTCGTGAGAGTAAGCATAATATTTATTTTGAGTAAAGTTATCACTAAACATACCTTTCAGATAAAAAGGAGCTCTTGTGAGGATCTATATTTTGACAAGATTCTAGGCTGCCATCAGATGGTGAAGAAAGCTGCTCTGATTTCAAGTTGTCTGTATCACCCAAACTGGCCTCAGTTACAGATGAGGTCTTTATGTATTTTCTTCCTAACTCCGTTCCCAGGACATTCGTCAATATAACTCTGGGTATCCTGTCACACAAAATAACAAACACTGTACTGTTCTGAAATTTGCAGGAAGAAAAAAAATGTATTCTAGGAAGTTAAATTTTCAAACATTTTCCTTTTAGCCCAAGGAAGCTATTAGAACTATACCACCCTGAAAAATCAACCCATAAATACTCGAAATTTTGGATGAACACTCTTTTTTTGTTCCTGAAAGTAGCTGTATCTTATAAATTGGTATAGACTGATATACCACTATAATGGCTTTAACTGTACTAATGGACACTATTAAGGTGCTTAAAATTTTACCCAATTTTTCTCAAAAAATGTTTTTTCTTTTCCAGTAGTTATTAAAAACAGATACTACAAACCAATTCAAAAAATCTTTATTCTTCTTATTCCCTGGTAAATAATAACATACTTGTAACTGGTAAATACCAAAGCTACGTCTGACAAGAAAGACATCATTCAGATTGCATTATGGTAAATGACAGATGCCTTAAGTGAAACAGCACATACATTGATGGTAATAACGAACTTTATTTAATAGCATCAGGGAAAGGGTCAACAAAATAAATGCTTAGAAAAGTAAAGTGTATTTTTAAAGCTCCAAAATTTTTTAATTTGGTGTGGTTCAATCAAAAGTACTAACATAAGCCTAGTATTTTTTTTTTAATTTCTTCTTGGGGTGGGGGGTAATTAGGTTTGGTTATTTATTTATTTATCTTTAGTGGAGGTGCTAAGGATTGAACCCAGGACTTCATGCATGCACTGTGCTACTGAGCTATTCCCTCCCTGCCAGCCTAGTGTCTTCTTAAACAGAATGGGTAGTATAATCTTTTCCTGGTTATCGAGATGTTATTATGAACAACTGATGTACTTTGCCACACCACAATGATGCCCTCAAGGCAACTATTCGGCCCTGAGTTGACAGGCCCAAGCCAAATTACTGTGAATTTTTTAGTTCTTTTTATGTATCTTTTAAGTTTTCCTGCCTCCTCTTTATCAGATGTTCCCCATGACTGTTACCAACATATCACTTGCAGCATTTTACTGACCTTTTGTGAGAGACAATACCACTTAGAAAGGGACAGAGTACTTTTAAGTTAAAAAATGTAAACTTTCCTGTACTTTGTTACATCTGCTGTGGTACTTAGAGGTACTCTTTATTTTCACTACATAGAGACACTATGTTCTTTTTACTATGTTCCAAACAGCGTAGAATTTCAGATCCTGGGAGAACTTTAAAATAATTTAGTCCACTCTTTATTTTAAACATTAGGAATTCAAAGCTCAGAAAAGTTAAATGTCTACCCAAGTATAAGTAATTCTTCCTAGTAGAAGAACCTAGGTCAGTTATCTTTTTGTTTTTTAAATTTTATTCCATTACACTGCATCCTCAATACTAAATTGCCAAAGGATAGAAGTAATTGAATTCTCTTCTGAATAATAAATGATCATTCTATTCTTTTATGCTTTGTTTTGCTGCTAGATTCTGAAGAAAGAAAAAGGAGAGATATCAAAAATGAAGCCTGGAGGATAAATGAGATCTTTTAAGCTAAAAAAAAATCTGAAAGTCTTGCCTAGAAGAGAAAAATTTCAAACTTCACCCAAAAACCACTGGAAAAGATTATCTACCAAGCTGCAGCAGAACCTACATCTCTAAAGCACAGGAGGCATAGAGGGTCTCTGAATTTACCAGAAGGTTCAAAGAACTATCTCAGCATGTCTACCATGGGATATCTTTCAATTAGATGTAAACAAATGCCACAGGGAAAAAACTGAAGACCAAGTAGAATATGTAAAGGTTAATAAATTAGGTATCAGGTAAAATATGTAATAAAGTCCAATTCCTACTGTACTTATGAAAAAAATTAAAGTTCAGAAGAATGAAAAGCAGTATGGCACAGGGGTTAAGAGCAAGGAGTCTGGAGTGAGACAAACATAGGGTTAGGTTCTGATTTCAGCACTTAATAATTCTACAACCTTGGGTAAGTTACTTACTATAATGTATGCCTCCTAGCATCATCTCTGAGACGGGGAGAATTATAAAATCTACCTTACAAAATTATTAAGACTAGATGAAATAATTGATGTAAAGCAGTTAGCACCAGTCCTGGCACACAGTAAATACACAATAAATGGAAGTTCACTTTAATTTTCCTATTATTGAAGTCTTGCTCAAATTTATAAACAATCTTTTCAATAGTACCTGTCATAATTTATCATGCTCTGCAATCTTAACGAAAATATCTAGAAAAGTACATAGTTAAACAGTTAGCAATGCCCGTAGTACTCCTAGCTCTTCATAACACATGCCATAGCCCAAGCATCTTTCATCAACTATTTGCAGTTTATAGAATTTGGGTACCTTGAGGAAAGACAGAGCTTTGTGACAGCTTTATAAAATACAAATCTATAAAGTGATGACTAAATTCATAATACCTAAACTGTCTTTCGGTGTATAACTTATAAATTAGCACTGCCATGAAAATTCTAGGGCTAGCCAGCATTTCAAAAGATTCTGAATTTTCACAAGAAATATATAAAGGTGTATACTACATCTCTCACACATGGAAGGAAGGACTGAAAATTGTCATTTCACACAGTCCATCCAATTTTTTCCCCAAGTATGCAAACAGTATCAGTGAGTAAAATATAGTTTGTTTAACTTTACTTATTAATATTGTGAAATCACACGTCAAGATATAATATGCTAAACCAAATGAGAAACAAATTTTGTAATGCATGAGATGAAGCATAAAGTATACTGGCCTGAGAAGTAATGCCATTAATTGATTATGTCTCTGCACGGTTATTTTCTCTGATTCTTAATTTTCTCAGTTATAAGTTTTGAGTTCCCTTCCTATACAAGGTAGCATAGTAAATGTAAGATTCAAATAATTCAATAAATAGGGGAAAAATTTGAAAAACTGATAAGAGCTATTAAGATAAACTTGATGTCAAGAGCAAATTTTTTTAAAGAAATGGAAAACCCTCATTAAAAGATAATAATTTTATCTGGTCTGATAATAAAGCTATAATATAATAAATTTTAAAATTACAATACTAATTTAGTTTTATTTTGCTGTAATTTAGACAAATACTTTTCTAAAATTGTGCTGTGACATTTTAATAGGGTTCCCATAAATCCATTCTTATCCTAGATGATATAATTCAAAATATTACTTTCTAAATCAATTTCTCAAGCTATGTAGAAAAAAATTTCTAATTTTTGAATAACTTTCACAGATTTTCTAAATTTGCTTTTTTTACTAAGCTATATTTTTAATGAATAAATTATCACTCAATTAAAACATTACTGGCTTAAAGAAGTTCTAAGCTACAAGAATACTGTGGTTGTCATACCATCACATCTGGAAAGTCATACAACCACAATAGTTGGAATATGTAATGTTTTAAAACTTTAAACATATGTAAATGTAAGAAAAACATGAATAATACTTATACCATTTAGGGAAATTCCAAGAACCAGGAGCTAACTTTTTTCTTAATGGAATATGGGTACACTGCCTCAATACATCTCTAACAATCTCTGGTGCCAACTGATGAAAGCAGGAGAAAGATGGTTAACCTGTCTCCAACTAGGCTCTTTCTTGCCTGCTGACTAAGGTTTATAAAAATCTGGAAATTTTCTCCCAGGAAAATAGATGTGAACCACACATGGTGATAAAATCTAGACTAAAATATGATTTACTTGTTTAAAAAGAAATGTGTGCATTCCACATACTGCTAGTTTGATATATCTAAAATTCTTGACCCTTTCCTTCATTATTTAACAAGGTTGATCTGGATCATATATTTTCTGTTTTTCTTCTCAATTTCATCCAGAAGTTAAAAGGCTAAATTGTCTTCATATAAAAGGCAAGATGCTTAGACCACTACCTTTAGATTCTAGAATGCAAATAAAATTTCTAAAAAATGCCATTCCTGGGACTGAATGAGTAATGTTTGTTTACTCAATAGCTAAACTATAAGTTAAAATTAAAAACCAAAACCAAATTTTTCTCCCTTCATCTTTCTGAAATAATGAAGTCCTAGCTAAGCAAAAATGAAAATAAGACAGTGTCATGTTCGAAGTTAAGCAAAGACTGAAGAAAGCCTAAGTCTCCTATTCCAGACAGCGAGTCCCACACAGAAAACATCTGTCTAAAGCTATGCCCTAAACAGTTCTCCAGTTGTGTTTTTTGAAGTTTGTATTATCTCTTTTCCTGGCTGTCTCCAAAATTACAGAGCAGATAATTGGTTCTATTGGAGAAAAATACATTTCAATCAAAAAGACTGGAGATATAACTCCGCTGAGAAGCAATTTCTTTCTTGTATTCTGCAAACATTTATTGAGCATTTAGTATGTGCCCAGTACTGTGCTATGTACTAATAATAGTGAAAAAATAATAATATGAAGTCCCTGCCCTCACGAGGCTTGTTGCCAGGGAGGCAGAGAAACTAAAAATCACAATATAGTGTGATGAGTGCTATGATACATGAAGAGGCTGCTTAGCAAGATGAAGAAATGGATCAAATGCAGATGTGGGAGGCAGAATTAAAGGCAGCTTCCCAAGAAGACAGCATACGAACTTGATGCTAAAGACCAGTACAAGTCAGTAAAAGGGAAAAGGAGACTCTCTGCAAGATAAGAGAACAAGCAGCATGAGCTCAGAGGTATAAAACAGCATTATACATTCAGTATCAATAGTTCCCTAAGTCTGAAGGACAGCATGAATGTGGAGGGGTGGACAGACATAAAGCTAGAGGTAGGCAGAGGTGAGACCATCGAGGACCCTGTATGCCAAGCTAAGGAGTTTGAACTTTATCCTGAAGTGTATGTGGAGCCACAGAAAGATGTTAAACTAGATAGTGACAAGTAATATCTGTCTTTTACAAATAATACTTTGGCAACAATACAGGGAAACAATCAAGAAGAAAAAGACTATGTACAGGAAGTCCAATTAAACTATGATCATAGTAACAAGGCACAAAACTAATAGGGCTTGAACTGAGGTAGTGGCAATAAAGATGGTGATCATTTTAAGACAGATTTAGGAAGTAAAAATAACTAGACATGACAAATGATAGTATATGAAGGGTAAGAAAAATGAGGAACAAGGACAATTTCCAACTTCTAATTTTAAGAACTAAGTGTAGAGAAGTCATATATTCAGACAGGGAGGAGATATGGGAATAGGAACAAGTTAAATTTAAGATACCTGGAGCTGAGGAAAAAGATCTGAACTAACTGGTAGTTCACCCCCGGAAGTAAACAGAAAACACACACACACAGAGTAAAAACCAAATTAGAATCCTTTAGGGACTCTTTACTTCACATTATATTTAAATTACACAAACACATAATTTAGCTGCTAACAATTTCTGGTAAGAAAAACTATTTTTCTGAGAGAATATAACATGACACTATTATAAACATGCTGTTCTAATTGAAAAAGGACAGAATGGGATGAGGGGACTGATGCTATTTGGAAGAGTTGAAGCTTCTTTTCAAAAGAGTCCAAAGAGATTGGAAGGTTCATTCCATTAAGCAGCCCCCTTATTTAGATTCATCAGCACGGTAAGGAATAGGTTCACCTGTACTAAGGAGGAAAAACGCTGGAATCCAGAACAATGAGAGCCAAATGTTTCATAAATTACTGAAGCTAAACTGTCTGACTCTAAGATTTTGGGTGCTTTAGAAAGTCATATTTACATCAGGATGATCTAGTACAGAAATTCTTGTTACATAGCTTTTTATGGTCTTGTCTTTTCTAAACGAAGTGTCCTTTTTTAAAATTAATGTATTATACTACGTTCAGATGTTCTGACAGAGTTCTATTTTTATTTTAAATAACAGTGTTGAAATTTAGTGATTTTTATCTGGATCTTGGCTTAAAGCACTTACAGACTCAGCCAGATTACAGACTATATAACCAAAGTGCTATCTCACTAATGACAGGTTATTCTAATTGAAAGTAAAGTACCTCTCTCTAAAAAATATTCATTAAAGGGTTAAAATTATAAATGGAAATACACTAAAAATATTATGTTACAGATCACAAATTCCCAAAGCTAATTCCTAAGTTTCAGCTCCAAACTTCATATACAATTCTTTTTAAAAATACAAAACAAAACAAAACTAGTCTTGTTAGTTTTCAAAATTAAACTGTATATTTATTATTAAAAATTTGGGGTAGTATTTCAATATCATCTCCTTCTTTTAAAAATGTATGTAAAATACAAGAAAGCTCACAAAGTCAAAAGTGGTAAGGATCTAGATTAAATGATATTTAAAAGGTATGTTAAAAATGCAGAAAATTAAAAAGATCTATAGATAGATATTCATACCTTTTTTATTTTCTGCATCTTTAACATAACTTTCAACTAATATTTATTCTAGGTCCTTACCTATCCATCTATATCTAGTTCTTCATTTTATATCATAAATGAATCTTAAAAATACATACACATGAACCAATTATAAAGTTAAATGTACTAAGGATACTTGCTTTTATGGAAATAATTCTGTATCAGTCTATTCAATGAAGTGCAGAACTATCATTAACTTTGTAAATTAAGATTGTCAGCTTTAAGATTTGAGTGGGTCACACCTGTGTATACAGATTTTCTTACAGATGATTTCCAACAATTTTTTTTTTAGACTCTGGGACTCATTTCAAATGCGGTAAGTTGAACAAAATCAATACTGAACAACATACCTTTCAGACAAATTAAGGCTTTGGTGAAGAGGTTCTAATTTTTGACATGTCTCTAGGCTCTCAACAGATGTCGAAGGCAATGAGTCTGATTGCACCTTGTTGGCATCACATAAATTAGCATCGTTTCTAGGTAGGGTGTTTCTGAATTTCCGTCCTAAATCCGTCCATAGGACATTCGTCAACATAACTTTGAGTTGCCTGTTACACACATAAATAATTAATACACACAGTACTAAACATTGTTTAATACATGAATTCATCACAAACTGTAACAAATGAAAACCTGCAGGAAATCTAAATTTCAGTTCTTCCAGCAATTAACCAGAGTCGTAAATATTATAAGAAAAAAATTTGCCTAACCATTCTCAAATATACATTAAAAAGTAAAGCCTATTTCACTTAAATTGGGATTTTCTTTAGAATTCTGTGTGGTATACTACAACTATGGTCATGCACATGTATAGCTGTTGGATTTCTCGTAACCCATCTGTACCTATTCACACTATTAATGGAACAATACACATCTGCACATTGCATCACAAAGGCAACCACTTTTCTACACTAAAAATGTGGTTTTGTTTTAGCATTTGTTGATTTGGAAAACATAATTAAAACTAAGGGTGTAACAGTACATCATCTATAGTCTTAAACCTATATAGTGTTAAGATACACTTAATTTCACCTTATTTCTAAAAACAAGTTAATTTAAAACACTTACTATACCTATTCCAATTTCAAAAAGTGAAACTGACAAATCCAAGCACTTTCAGCTTTTTTGCCTCATTACATTTTACCCATTACACATTCAATACATCTTTGTATTGATATTACTTGAAGAACTGTGTTCAGTTCTGGAACCATGAACCATATACTTTTTGCAGTACTGTGAACAGGTTACCAAGTGGATGTGAAACAATGTCAAATGAGGAATGGCTGAAAGAATTGGAAATGTTTAGTCAGAAGAGTGTCTATTCTACTCCCTAGTACTAGTTTTAGGCACTGTTTGTTTAACAAATGTAAGAATATTAAGAAACAGAAAGCAAAGTGCTCGTATATTTTTAAGATAAAACAGGTCTCAAAGAAATCACTTGTTTGCAACAGCCACTTGGGGCTGTATCTTCAGATCACCGGAAAGAGGGATACAAGTCTTCAGGGGAGCCTCCATAGAATGCATTGAAACTCTAAATATTTTAAGTTAAAAAAAGTTTAATCTATAGGTTTTAGAATAATCATTAAAGAATAAAGAGGTGAATGACATTTCTATGAATGAATAATAGTAATTCATTCTTCATTCAACAAATACTTACCAAACACCTTCTAGCAAAACAACTGTATTAGTAGAATCTGGAGGTTTAGCAACAAACAAAACAGTTACAATTCCTGTCTTCTTGGAGCTTACATTCCAGAGAATAATCACCCAATTAGTTGTTTAATTACAATTATGATGAGCAATATGAGTGAAAAGTACAGAAGCTGCATTTCTTCTGAACCAGGTCAGGGAAGGTTCTACTGAGAATATGACCTTTAAGCTGAAACCTCAAAGGACAGACACGATCCAACGGAAACAAGTGGAAAATGGAGAGTGGTTCAAAAAAGGGAACAAAATGCAAATGCTCAGATATAAATACAGCTTATTCAAAGAAATCAAAGGACTTACCTGGCTCTAGTGCTCAGAGTGAAGAGGAAATGTATGTAAGCTAATAAGGATGGGCAGTTAGGTAAGACCCTGTGGACTGTATTAAGGATTTGAGACTTTATGTCAACAACAACAGCAGCAATCCCCTAGCTTTAAAAACAGAATGATGAGATCAGAGCTGCATTTTTAAAAGATGACTTTTATAATGAATAGAGAAAGTACTCAGAGAAAACAGTAATAATGAATTCAGAGAGGTAATGCTGAGTTAGGCGTAGTTTAGTGGAATGGTGGGAGCAGAAATGGGGAAGATGAAAAGGGATATAGCAAATGAAGGGAGTTGATATATGGCTATGAAAGGTGTATATAGGACAAGAGCTGAAGATAAATGTGAGATGCAGAAAATGGTTTTTATTAGTTATTGGTTTGTTAGTTAGCTTAAGAAATAAAACATCTGTATAAGTTTAATTGCTTGTGGGAAGGGGTCAAAAGAGTAAAAGAGGTTGAAGATACAAAAGAGAATAATTGACATTATAAAGAAGTTTCCTAGCAAATGGCATAAAAAGAGCTAATATTTATTGATTATACACATATACTGGGCACTATGCTAAGGATTTTACAATGATTTACTTCATTTAATCCTCACAACTACTCTGTGAGATACAATGGTAATTATTATTCCTCTGCAATTGAGAAGACCAAGATAGAAAGATTAATAACTTAAGCCCACAGTAAAATGGGTGAGTAGTGAAAGAGATCCAGAACCATACACTATCAACTCTGCTGCTACTAGCATTCACTGTTCCACTAGCCTGGTTTCTGACGGGAGAAGAGGAGCCCCTTTCCTTCTTTCAGAAACCAAGATCATCTTTTCAAAGTGATAAGAAAGGTAAAGGAACACAGGCTTGAGAAAAGAAGAGGCTTCGAATCATCACTATGGAGAGGGGGAACTCAAGCTGACTAGAGAAACACAGTACGATTATCTTGCAGTTTAGGAAACCAGTGAGATTAATAATCATGAATTTATAATGCCACAAACAGACTCTGTTCTGTGATTTTTTTTCCCCTTCACTGTTCAGCCACTTTAGTGTCAGCACAATGCAAATAATTAGGTTCACAAGTGATTATTAATTACAAAAGAAAAAAACATTTTTTAATTGAAGTACAGTCAATTATAATGAGTATAAAACATCTTTATAATGAAAGATTTGGCAGCTACCACCTTAACCAAGTGACCAAATGTAGGGCCACCAACAGTGGGACAAGCAGACATTATGTATTCCCTGATATGATACAATAAGCAAATCACATCAGCCATGAGTTAGTCTTGCCAAAAATGTAATATGAAACTACTCATGGGCCAAATCCAGACAATCATAAAAATCTAGAATGTAGGACATTCTACAAGACAACTGGCCTGAACTCTTCAAAAAAGTCAATGTCATGGTTTAAAAAAAAAGGGGTGGGGGTCAGAGGGCAGGCAGGAGCTATTCTAAGATTAAGAGACTAATGAGACATAATAGCCAAAATACATAATGCATGAACATCAATGTGATCCTAGATTTCAAAATAAATAAATAAAAGACATTTTGGAGACACATAGGGAATTGTGGTTCTAGAGTTTATATTAGTTGATAATATGAAATTACAAATTTTCTTCATAATTTATTATGGTTATTTATGTAAGAGAATTTCCTGGTTCTTAAGAAGTGCAAGCTAAAGTATTTAGAGGTGAAGTGCCACATTGTCTCTAACTTTCAGATGGTTGTGAAAAAAATGTGTATGTGTAGGTATATATGTGATATGCACTTATACACATGTATGAAAACAGACTGAGAGGAAGCAAATGTGGGAAAATGTTAATAACTGGTGAATCCAGATGAAGGATATATTGAGTGTTTGTTATGTTCTTAACAAAATCATCCCATGCCTGGAATCCTGTACCAAGAAAACTATGAAACACGGAGGAAAAGAAGTTATACATGAAGATATTCATCACAGTTTTTTATACAAGCAACAAACTAAAAACAACGTTAAATTCCTAGCAATAGCAGAATCATTAAGTAGACCATGATAAAGCCACTTAATGGAATGTTACTTGTCTCTTAAAATCTTCTACTTTAAATTTTTTAAAAACCTGTGTTTTCTGTTTTCTACTTGTCTTTATTTCTGTTTTCTATACTAAGCAAGCACTATTTATATAAAGAGAAATGTCAACTAAGTAATTTTTAAAATGGTAAATAGGTTTACCAAGCCAAAACTATCAATTAGTGAAATGGAATTTTTTTTACATTCAGGACTATTCTTTCATAACTATATGTTTACAACTGTACAACTTAAAATTCTAAGTGATCAAATGAAAGTCCTTCTCAAATCTTAAAGATATAAGGCATACTTCTCGTCTAATGAGATTATTAGTAATTTGCTAAATTATTTAGGAAAGTATTATCCCACTGGTAATTTTAATAATTTTAAATATGAAAATATCCAATGTTGGAAAATGCCATTTTTCTATCCACCCAGACCAAATAAGAATCACCACTGTGATCTTACTGATAATTCTAATAGTGTGGCTCTAAGTGAGAAAGTCAATTTGGGTTCTCTGGAGAAATACTCTGGAGAGTATTTCTTGTCCTTCAAGGAAATGCGTGTAGGAAATCAGAATATGCTACCTCAAAATATGTTACTGTGGCACAAGGATTATTTTGAAGTGAACACAACTGAGAGCAGATGCCAAAAAGGCTCTCTATCCACCCGCTGTTTGTCTAAAAACAGGTTTTGACTACTCATCACCAGAGACTCTTAGCCTAGGAATGGAATCTACATAACAAGCCTCACTAAACAGACTATCTTCTGTTAGTTTCCCTCCTATGTGTACTTTCCCCAGTTTGCCATCCTTGGAATGGCAATCCTTTTTCTTTTGTCTTCTCACTTTGCTAGAAATTTATTATTCTTCATTAATACACTATATAAGCCCAAGTTGTAACCACTTCTTTGAGTTACTCATCACAGAATTTCTCCTATGTATATGCACACTGCATTTATTAATAGACTGTGTTTGTTTTTCTTTTATTAATCTGTATTTTGTCTGTCAGATTTGCAGGGCCCCAGCCAAGGAATCTAAGAGAGTAGAGGCTTTTTTCTCTTCTCTACGTGGACAAAATATTTGAACACTTCATAAAAAAGATATACGAATGGACAATATGCACCTTATCATTCTGGTCTTTAAAAAAAGTTTCTTGTCTTTTCAAAAAAAGGAGGAAGGCAGCAAAAGATTACCACACACACTTTAGAGAAGATACAAAAGCACATGAAAAGATGCTCAACATCATCATTCATCACGGAAATGCAATTAAAACCTCAAAAAGATACTACTACACATCCATTACAATGGATGGTGATAAGAAACTGACCATACAAGTACTGGCAGAAGTGTGGAGGAAGTAAAACTCTCCTACACTGCTGGTGGTAAGGTAAAATGGCACAATTACTTTTGGAAAACATTTGGCAGTTTCTTACAAAGTTGAAAATACACTTTCAATGACCCAGCAACCCATCTCCTAGG